TACCTTTAAGGACAGACCACCCTCCTCCCCCCTCTTTTCCCCCTCCTATTGACCAATGGTGGGTAACCCCATCTCCAGATTCATGCTCCGTAGCCCTACCTCTCCCCTTTCCTCACCTCTCTCCCGCCCTGCTCCCCTCCCTTGAGAGAAAGAGTCTAGATGAACCACCATGACCTCCTCTTCTTCTCCTTCCCCCCTTCGGATCCTCCCTCCTTCCCTCCTTCCCTCCCTCCCCTGTTCGGAGCCTCCCTCCAAAAGCCCTAGACTATCCTTCGCTTTCATTGCAGCATCCTTCGCTCTTGTCCCTCGCGCTCGTCCTCTACCCTGCCTTTTTTCCCTCCCTCCTTCCCGCCCTCCCCATGCCATGTCTCTGGGGCCCCGGACGCGCTTCTCCTCTGGCATCCCTTTCCCCATCTCCCCTAATCTGCCGCCTCCTTCTTCCAAACCCCTTCCTTCTCCACCACTTTCCCTCCTCCCTCCTTCCCCCGAACGTTCCCCTTCCTTCTCCCCTCCTCCCTCCAAGCCCCCCGTGACCTTGACTTGCCGGTTAAATTCCGCGAATGCCATGTACCTCTGGTTCCGCCACAGCAGGGTCATCCGGGCTATCACGCAGGCAATACTCAGGATCCCCACCAGTACGATGGCGGCTCCGCACACTACGCACAGACGGATTAGAAGATGGGAAGAATGATTCGTGGGCAGACATTAGCGGCCTTACCCGTCCCCCCGACCCCTCGCCCACAAAGTCCCGGGACGAAGTGGACACCACGTCGATCCAAACATTGCAAAGGGGCGTACGGGGCTGCGAGCTCTGCGAGCTGTCGAATTTTACATCACCATCGTCGGCAGTGTTTTCCCTAATTTTCCTGAGGTGCCTGCCTACCTGCCAAGACGGTGCTGACCGAGATCTGCGGCATTCCCCCCACCTCTGCACGAGACAATGACGGGGGATGAAGAAAATTTCGACGAAGGGTCTTGAGAGCGTTTGTGGAGGAAGCACCGCTGCGCCGGTGTGTATCGGGTTCCAGGTTCCAATGTACCAAGTCTGGTCGAGCTGCTACGTTGACTTGATGTTGCCGTCCTGGGAGCCGGTACCAGGGCTCTTGGTTTTGGTCTTCTGTTGCCACGCACACCGACCGCGTCAGAGGTACAATCAGGTTTCACTTCGTGTGGTCTAATTTTTGCCTGATGAATATGGCGAATGAAGAAAGAAATGTGCATGTAAACATGAGTATGAGCGCACAAGCGGAGGACTTGGTCGATTCTGCTGCTCGCCCGCTACCAGCGTTCGGACATAAGTCACGACTTTAAGCAGAGTTGACCCCTCAAAAGCCTCCAAAGATCTTAAAGACGTGTCAATTTCTTTCCAATATGCATGGTGATTGGTTTGGAACCTGTCCTAACGTCGTCTTCCATGTTTTTATGCAAGCAGGATACTAAACGGAATGCCTAGTTGGGCTGCATCTACCTTCCTATGGAGATAGCACCATTGCCCCTTCCCAGGCCATTTTTGATCCGCGTAGGAGGGAAGACACAACACCAATATCACAGACGCCATGGACAACGCCCGGACGTACAGCATCCGACTCCGGGGCGCAAGTCAGGGAGGAAAGCGCAATGGCTTCAATGACCTAGGGGTATCAGACATCGTGGCGCCTGTCCCCCGGGAAGAGATGCCTTCCGTCTCAGCACTCCAACTCGAAATTCCCGCCCGCCCCGTCTCCTCCTTGTGTGACGTGCACACGAAGCCAGGCGCCTCCTCTCCCCGTGCTCGGGCCTCGCCTTCCGCCACGACGGGACTTAAGGCCTTGTCCCTGCCTGACGATGCCCTCCTGCGGCGTGTGCACGTGGGGAAATGCTTGCAACTCCTTTATCCACGGATATTCGCCGCGGGGGTCCTCCCTCCGGCTTCTCCTCCCCTCAATCGCATCCGGGAAGCCGTCTTTCACGGCATTCAGACCGTGCGCTATACCTCCTTGGCAGCATTTCGTGAGGAGGTCGTCTCCCTCATGACCCTTCACGCTTGCCCGGACGCCGTGGG